TGTTGTCATATTGTTTTCTCTTGAAAAAAAGAAGAGTTAGGGGGATCTGATTGAGGTGTTTAATATTTGTAAAGGGAATTGATAGTGTTGATGCATCATCTTTTTTTTATATTTAAGAATGAGAGCTGTAGAACTAGGGGACACAAATATACATTTTGGCGAGGTAGGAGTCATCTTCAGTTAAGACAGTTCAATTTTTTTAATAGAGTAGATGTTGTAGAAGCAGAAAACATTGAGTTTAAGAAAAAGATTGACAAGTATATGAATGATAAAGGCTGGCTTTAAGATTTTTTACAAATTATCTTAATTTAGTTTAGAGGATGGAACAACCGAAATGGACCAATAGGTCTCATGTTGTCCCAATACGTTATGTTATGTTAAAGTTATAAGGAAACATTGGTTACTAAAGTATGCTTTTATTCATTCTGATATTGACATTCTCAGAACAAACTTTTCACTTAACCCTATCCCATTAATCTATATTACATCATTAACCATAAACACAACCTTTCAAGCATAAAACCATCAATCTAACTAGCAACTGAGGTAATGTTCGTAAATAAAACTCTCTTGGAAATTTTATGTTTTATAAAATTTCTTTATGAACAAAATACTTTAAACTTTTACTATCTAAGATAGATAAACAGTTATTTTAGGCAAATACAACACACCAAAGTAGGTGGGTTCATGTTAAAAGTAATATAGTAATAGTTTTTACAACTTCCAACCACAAGAATGACTCAATATTAGGCTTATATATCATATCTCAGAAACTCTAATAAATCTCCAAAAAAAGGTTTTAAAAAAGTCTAAAACAATCAGTTTAGAGGCTGTTTTACAAAGTGCAACTTCCCTAATTTCAGTTGGGTAAACAAGCAGCTGTTACTTCCTTAGTTAAAGTTGGGTAAATAGGAAGTTGTAACTTCCCTAGTTACAGTTGGGTAAACAAGAAGCTGTAACTACTCTAGTTTCAATTGGGTAAACATAAAGCAGTTACTTCCCTAGTTACAGTTGGGTGACCAAGAAGCTGTAACTTCCCTAGTTACAGTTGGGTAAACATGAAGCAGTTACTTTCCTAGTTACAGTTGGGTAAATACGAAGGTGTAACATCCCTAGTTACAGTTGGGTAAACAAGAAGCTGTTACTTCCCTAGTTAAAGTTTGGTAAACAAGAAGCTGTAACTTACCTAGTTTCAGTTGAGAAAACAAAAAGTTGTTACTTCCCCAGTTAAAGTTGGGTAAACAAGAAGCTGTAACTTCCCTAGTTTCAGTTGGGTAAACAAGAAGCTGTAACTTCTCTAGTTTCAATTGGGTAAACATGAAGCAGTTACTTCCTAGTTACAGTTGGGTAAACAAGAAGCTGTTACTTTCCTAATTACAGTTGGGTAAATACGAAGGTGTAACATCCCTAGTTAAAGTTGGGTAAACAAGAAGCTGTTACTTCCCTAGTTTCAGTTGGGTAAAGAAGAAACTGTTACTTCCCTAGTTACAGTTTGGTAAACAAGAAGCTGTTATTTCCACAGCTGAAGTTGGATAAACAAGAAGCTGTTACTTCCCTAGTTTCAGCTGGGTAAAGAAGAAGCTGTTACTTCTCTAGTTACAGTTTGGTAAACAAGAAGCTGTTATTTCCACAGCTGAAGTTGGATAAACAAGAAGCTGTAACTTCCTTAGTTACAATTGAGTAAACAAGAAGCTGTTACTTCTCTAGCTACAGTTGTCTAAAAAAGAAGCTCTTACTTCACTAGTTACAGTTGTCTAAAACGAAGCTGTAACTTCCCTAGTTTCAGTTGTATAAACAGGAAGCTGTAACTTCCCTAGTTACAGTTGGGTAAACAAGAAGCTGTAACTTTCCTAGTTACAGTTGTATAAACAAGAAGCTGTAACTTCCCTAGTTTCAGTTGGGTAAACGAGAAGCTGTAACTTCTCTAGTTTCATGAATGAGAATAGGTGATACACATTTCATAGTCTGTAGTTCTTCTCAACAGGCAACAGTTTAAGGTACAGGTTTCAGTTCCAGAAACTGGTATGGTACATGTATTGTTTGGTTATTGTGTTCCACCAGCAGATGACCTCGCCTTGATGAGGACCCAACAACCCAAACAGTTTCTCCTTTTAACAGTTGTATGGCTCCACTCCCATCATCTGTAAAGCAACCAATGTAGAAGAGGTGAAAAAATACAGAAAAACAATCCTACAACCTATCCTACATATAAATTGAAAAACTATTCAGAAACCATATGAAGTTCATATTACAAATCAACAAAAGTACATTTTCTGAGAAACATTGTTGTAAGGGTAAGCACTGGTAAGTGAAAATAAACTCTGTAACTTGAAGTATAGGAATAATAAATAAATAAATATATGTATTATATATTTAAAAAAAACAAAAAGAATGATTACATCAAAAGGAAGAATAGCCTAAATTCTACACAGCATATCCAAACCTTCCATGAAAAATAATTATTTATAATGTTACGTAGAACAATGAAATTAAACAAAACAGGTCTTCAAAGGTTCTACAAGAATTACACAGTAGCAGGTCTTATACAGGGAAAGTGATACATCTACATTAATGCATCTGTAAAAGCTACAGTCCAAATAAGTAATTCTGATAATTTCTCCTACAAAAATTAAATATCATTAATTATTGTGTTTATTATAATTTTGTTTATACTTCTATTTTTAAATTTACATATATATTTTGTTATGTCTCTGGTCGTTTGTTAATTACTCGTAAAAATTCTTTACGGAGAACTTCAGCGATACAAGTCCTTCTTCAAATAAAACTAGTTTATTCTTTCTCAGTTCAACTTTGCAATACACTTAATTTCCACACTCACCGTAACTTAACACACGCTATAATTTACATCAAACGATTCACGCACTTTACTTACTACCGTACTTGACTCAATTATCCGTCTATATCTTCAATCTCTCTGTCTGCTATACCATTCCGATTACTTGCCTGGCGCACTTATATACAAGAATAGAGGGCGACTAGCAAATACTGAATTATTCGTGATGTTCCCCGATCTTTCTAGAACTCATTACGTGTTACTAGCGTCACGTGACTTCCCTTTCTGGGTAACAGTCTTTCCTGCTGTGGCATCT